GTAAACAAGGTATCTACCGGGTAATTCTTCCGCGCTACCTTTTACCCTTCACCCTTCACCCTGCTACCCGGCAAAAAGTTTTAAATGTACCTCCACTTGCCGAGGCCCAGGCAGTTTCTATAGGCCAACGGTGCTGCCCGGGTCCACCACGAGGAGACCGCGGATCGAGGCCCAAGGATGGCGCCTTCATTTTCCCTTGGGGGGGGGGGGGGGGGGGCGCTGAACCCCGGTTCTCTGTCGGGGCCGCGGGCTGTGTCGGCGAGACTGGGCCCCCCCCCCCAGCCCCGCTCGCTCATCTGGGATCCACTGCTCCCCTCTTTCCGCGTCCTGGGGAGGGTTACCGCTCACCGACTACACAACCACCCACCCATTCGCTGCGGCCCCTCGGGACGCCACTCGAAAGGGGGGGGGGGGCTCGCGCTCGCGGCTACCCGCCAGCCAATCGCGTGCGCGGAAAATTGGGCGGGACCCGGGGGTCGGGGGTCGGAGGGCGCGGCGAGTGGGTGGGGCGGAGGGGGCGTCAGCCGTTCGAGCGTCAGCCGATTGGAGGAGGTGGCCGCGGGGCCGGTTTAGAGGGCCCCCGTGAACGACGAGGACGACGAGGACGAGGACGACTTCAACTTCAACGACTCCGGCACGCCCCAGGGGCGACTTATTCTCCGGCACGCCCCAGGGGCGACTTATTCTCAGGCACGCCCCAGGGGCGACTTATTCTCAGGCACGCCCCAGGGGCGACTTATTCTCAGGCATGCCCCAGGGGCGACTTATTCTCCGGCACGCCCCAGGGGCGACTTATTCTCAGGCACGCCCCAGGGGCGACTTATTCTCAGGCATGCCCCAGGGGCGACTTATTCTCAGGCACGCCCCAGGGGCGACTTATTCTCAGGCATGCCCCAGGGGCGACTTATTCTCAGGCACGCCCCAGGGGCGAGTTATTCTCAGGCACGCCCCAGGGGCGACTTATTCTCAGGCACGCCCCAGGGGCGACTTATTCTCAGGCACACCCCAGGGGCGACTTATTCTCCGGCATGCCCCAGGGGCGACTTATTCTCAGGCATGCCCCAGGGGCGACTTATTCTCAGGCACGCCCCAGGGGCGACTTATTCTCAGGCACACCCCAGGGGCGACTTATTCTCAGGCACGCCCCAGGGGCGACTTATTCTCAGGCACGCCCCAGGGGCGACTTATTCTCAGGCACACCCCAGGGGCGACTTATTCTCAGGCACACCCCAGGGGCGACTTATTCTCAGGCATGCCCCAGGGGCGACTTATTCTCCGGCACGCCCCAGGGGCGACTTATTCTCAGGCACGCCCCAGGGGCGACTTATTCTCAGGCACGCCCCAGGGGCGACTTATTCTCCGGCACGCCCCAGGGGCAACTTATTCTCAGGCACGCCCCAGGGGCGACTTATTCTCAGGCACGCCCCAGGGGCGACTTATTCTCCGGCACGCCCCAGGGGCGACTTATTCTCAGGCACGCCCCAGGGGCGACTTATTCTCAGGCACGCCCCAGGGGCGACTTATTCTCAGGCACGCCCCAGGGGCGACTTATTCTCCGGCACGCCCCAGGGGCGACTTATTCTCAGGCATGCCCCAGGGGCGACTTATTCACAGGCACGCCCCAGGGGCGACTTATTCTCAGGCACGCCCCCGGGGCGACTTATTCTCAGGCACACCCCAGGGGCGACTTATTCTCAGGCATGCCCCAGGGGCGACTTATTCTCAGGCATGCCCCAGGGGCGACTTATTCTCAGGCATGCCCCAGGGGCGACTTATTCTCAGGCATGCCCCAGGGGCGACTTATTCTCAGGCACGCCCCCAGGGCGACTTATTCTCAGGCACGCCCCAGGGGCGACTTATTCTCCGGCGGATGATGCAAAGGCGAACTCCTCTTTGGGGGGGGGCTTTTTTTCCGGCAAAGTCACGCAGGTGAAATGAAAGGAAATGGAACGACCGAAACAGGTCCCTGCGGGGTGGGCTGGCAGGACAAGTCTCTGCGCTGTCTACTGCTGATTTTACACCCCAACAGCACGAGATTTCACTTCGTTAAAGTATCGAAAGGGGACGGACAGACGGACGGACGGACACATTAATCTATTGCAGGCTGGTACACTCAGTTTACAACTTCGTTCCTACCAGCATTAAAGCACAAGCTTCCGTCTTCAGGTGGAACAGTTGCGGGTGTTCTGCTGCGACTGTTCCGCCTGAAGACGGAAGCTTGTTGTTGCCTCCGAAACGTCGTGATTTAATTGAGTCGTTTTGTTTTTATTTCATTTCACCTTTTGATTTAAAGCTTTCGTGACTGCAGCGATTCATATTCGTGGTTCTTTCGGTAAAAGTCACCACCACGTAGATAGGAAAATAATCAAATAAAAAACAATAAAATTGTTCTAAAACAATAAAATTATTATTCTTGGTCCTTTCGGTAAAAGTCACCACCACGTAGATAGGGAACCAATAAAATAATAAAAAATATAAAACAATAAAATTATTGTAAAACAATAAAATTATTATTCTTGGTTCTTTCAGTAAAGTCACCACCACGTAGATAGGGAAACAATCAAATAATAAAAAATATAAAACAATAAAATTATTGTAAAACAATACAATTATTATTCTTGGTTCTTTCGGTAAAGTCACCGCCACGTAGATAGGGAAACAATAAAATAATAAAAAAATAAAACAATAAATTTATTGTAAAACAATAAAATTCTTATTCTTGGTTCTTTCGGTAAAGTCACCACCGCGTAGATAGGGAAACAATTAAATAATTAAAAATATATAAAACAATAAAATTATTGTAAAACAATAACATTATTATTCTTGGTTCTTTCGGTAAAGTCACCGCCACGTAGATAGGGAAACAATAAAATAATAAAATATATAAAACAATACAATTATTGTAAACCAATAAAATTATTATTCTTGGTTCTTTCGGCAAAGTCACCACTGCGTAGATAGGGAAACAATAAAATAATAATGAAATATATAAAACAATAAAATTATTGTAAAACAATAAAATTATTATTCTTGGTTCTTTCGGTAAAGTCACCGCTGCGTAGATAGGGAAACAATAAAATAATAATGAAATATATAAAACAATACAATTATTGTAAAACAATAAAATTATTATTCTTGGTTCTTTCGGTAAAAGTCACCACCACGTAGATAGGGAAACAATAAAATAATAAATAAAAATATAAAACAATAAAAATTCTCACGACGTTTCGACTGCAACACCAGCAATCGTCATCAGGTGTGAAAATCACAGCAAGAAAATTTGAAAAAAGTGGCGGGTTATTTTTAACGTTAGCACCACGGAGAGCGATTTGGCAGTCATTCAGATGGACGAGTCCATCTATGTTCGTAAAAGAGGATGCGGTCTGAAAGCCACCGTAAGCGTGGTCAATCAATTAAGCCCCGAAATGGTTGATCAAATCCTTCCAATGATTGCTAAGCCTGAATCCATCTTCTCGGTTGAGAAGTCACCTACGTGACTTTACCGACAAAAACAAAGGTTGTGAATCCTTGCAGTCACGAAAGCTTCAAATCTAGAAGTAACTAAACTACCCGTGTCAGTGTGGGCCACCAGGGCAGGTCTAACATATCTCCCGGTGGTCTAGGACTCAATCTCTCTACACTATACACTACACTATACACTACACTATACACTACACTATACTCTACACTATACACTAGTGCTGTACTAGTATACTACACTATACACTACACTATACACTACACCATACACTACAATATACGCTACACTATACACTAGTGCTGTACTAGTATACTACACTATACACTATACTATACACTACACACTACACTATACGCTACACTACACACTCCACTATACACTAGTGCTGTACTAGTATACTACACTATACACTACACTATACACTAGTGCTGTACTAGCATACTACACTATACACTACACTACACACTACTATACTATACACTACTACACTATACACTACTACACTATACACTACACTATACACTAGTGCTGTATTAGTATACTACACTATACACTACACTATACACTAGTGCTGTACTAGTATACTACACTACACACTACACTACTACACTATACACTACACTATACACTACTACACTATACACTACTACACTATACACTACACTATACACTACTACACTATACACTACTACACTATACACTACACTATACACTAGTGCTGTACTAGTGACAAATTGGCCACGTTCTGTTCACGTGACAACCCTCACCAGTTGGCCGTGTCGGGTGGTGGAGGGGTTTAACGACACAACATTGATTCATTTATTTATTTACAAGATATAACCCCCCCCCAAAAAAAACCCCTCTTAGTGTTGTTATTGTTATTCTTCTAATTATTTCTGTTATTATTGTTATAGTTGATATTATTGTTATAATCACTGTTATCACAGTTGGTTTTGTTATCGTTATTATTATTATTTTCAATAACTACCATTTATTATTGACAATTCATTGACGACCCCGGGCGAGCGGTCCCAGTTGGTACAGTCCGGCGGCGAGGTGGGCGCCCACCGCTTCTTGGGCGAGTCCATTCGCGATTTGTCCATCCCGTGGGGGGGGGGGTTGTTCGTATTCCCGTCTAACGCCCCCTTCAAGTCTCCGATACAAACCACACCCCCCCCCCCCCTGCTGTAGCTCATTCAGAAACCCCCAGCGAGCGGTCCTAGTTGGTACAGTCCGGCGGCGAGGTGGGCGCCCACCACTACTTGGGCGAGTCCATTCGCGATTTATCCATCCCATGGGGGGGGGGTGTTCGTATTCCCGTCTAACGCCCCCTTCAAGTCTCCGATACAAACAACCCCCCCCCCCCCCATAGCTCATTCAGAAACCCCCAGCGAGCGGTCCTAGTTGGTACAGTCCGGCGGCGAGGTGGGCGCCCACCACTACTTGGGCGAGTCCATTCGCGATTTATCCATCCCATGGGGGGGGTTGTTCGTATTCCCGTCTAACGCCATCCTTCAAGTCTCCGATACAAACCAACCCCCCCTCCCTTCTCCCCCCCCCCCCGTGCTCGCCGAATGATTTCAACTCTCGCTAAGCGGTTTAATGTCGCCGCATTTTCAATTTAAAACGACCGAAACTCTTTCTGCCCCGTCCTCTTCAAGACGCCATCGCTTCGTTACCGTTGCGACGAGTGGATTAACCAACTCCGCCTCATCATTTGGGTGAGTTTATGCATCTGCGGCCTAGTCTGCCCCGGGCTCGTTAAAGGTTGTCGGTGAAGCCTAGGCCCTTGCCTGAGCCGGGCTGCGAGCTACCCCCCCCACCTACACCCCGGCGAAGGGGTTCAGGAAAGGGGCTAGGGGCAGGTGGACGACGCGGCGCTAGGCCTAGTTTTATTTTTTTCTTAATACAATTATTTTTATTTTTTATATTTTTTATTTAAAACACAAACACAATTAAACGAGACGTTAATTTCGGGTTATGTTTAGTTTACAACGGTTGATGCCGCCGGCCGACGCGATGTGTCAGAATGCAGTTGTAGTCGGTTGTATTTTGATGTTATAAACTCTTTAACGTTGTTATAATTAACGCCGTATCCGTTATGGTTTTGTTCACAGTGCGCGCAGTGACAAGGACGGCAACGTGTATGTTCAAGTTCTCTCTTGCTCTCTCTCGTTAAAAGTTCAGAATGTACTTGTGGTGGTGGTGGTGTGTGGGTGAGTGTTTTGGTGGGTGAGTGGGTGGGTGAGTGTTTGAGTGGGTGAGTGAGTGGGTGGGTAAGTGTTTGGGTGGGTGAGTGGGTGGGTGAGTGTTTGGGTGGGTGAGTGTTTGGGTGGGTGGGTGAGTGGGTGTGTGATTGAGTGGGTGAGTGGGTGAGTGTTTGAGTGGGTGAGTGTTTGAGTGGGTGGGTGAGTGGGTGTGTGATTGAGTGGGTGAGTGTTTGAGTGGGTGAGTGAGTGGTTGGGTGAGTGTTTGGGTGGGTGAGTGAGTGAGTGGGTGTTTGGGTGGGTGGGTGAGTGTTTGAGTGGGTGAGTGTTTGAGTGGATGGGTGAGTGGGTGTTTTGGTGGGTGGGTGAGTATTTGAGTGGGTGTGTGATTGAGTGGGTGGGTGAGTGGGTGAGTGAGTGAGTGTTTGAGTGGGTGGGTGAGTGTTTGAGTGGGTGAGTGTTTGGGTGGGTGAGTGAGTGGGTTATTGAGTGGGTGAGTGAGTGGGTGAGTGTTTGATTGAGTGGGTGGGGTGAGTGTTTGGGTAGGTGAGTGTTTGGGTAGGTGAGTGAGTGGGTGGATGAATGATTGAGTGGGGGTGAATGTGATTAAGTGGGTGAGTGAGTGAATGAATGGGTGAGTGAGTGGGTGGGTCAATGATTGAGTGGGGTGAGTGTGATTGAGTGAGTGTGTGGGTGAGTGGATGGGTGAGTGAGTGAATGGGTGAATGTTTGAGTGGGTGGGTGGGTGAGTGTTTGGGTGGGTGGGTGAGTGTTTGAGTGGGTGGGTGGGTGGGTGTGTGATTGAGTGGGTGAGTGTTTGGGTGGGTGGGTGAGTAGGTGAGTGAGTTAGTGGGTTGGTGTGTGATTGAGTGGGTTATTGAGTGGGTGAGTGTTTGATTGAGTGGGTGGGGTGAGTGTTTGGGTACGTGAGTGAGTGGGTAGGTGAGTGAGTGGGTGGGTGAATGATTGAGTGGAGTGGGTGAGTGTGTGGGTGAGTGGATGGGTGAGTGAGTGAATGAATGGGTGAGTGAGTGGGTGAATGATTGAGTGGAGTGAGTGTGATTGAGTGGGTGAGTGTGATTGAGTGGGTGTGTGGGTGAGTGGATGGGTGAATGTTTCGGTGGGTGAGTGAGTGTGATTGAGTGGGGTGAGTGTGTGATTGAGTGGGTGGGTGAATGATTGAGTCGGGTGGCTGAGTGAGTGAGTGGATGGGTGAGTGAATGTTTGGGTGGGTGAAGAATTAGGTGGGTGGGTGAGTGTGTGTGTGTGTGCGTGTGATTGAGTTGGTGTGTGATTGAGTGGGTGAGTGTGTGAGTCGGTGGCTGAGTAAATGAGTCGACCGATGGGTGGATGCGTGAGTGGGTGAATTATTGAGTGGGGTGACTGAGTGAGTGATTGAGTGAGTGAGTCTTTGATCGAGGGAGTGTTTCCGGAGAGCCGAGTGAGTTATCGGCTGAGTACGTAGGTGGCTGGTTTAGTGAATGAGTGGGTGAGCGAGTCGTTGGGTGGTTGAAGTGAGTGGATGAGCGGGCGGGTGAGTGATAGAGGGGTGAGTGTGATGAGTGGTGGCGTAGGTGGCGAGTGAGCGGGTCGGTGAGTGGACGTGGCTGTGAGTGGAAGAAGAGTGAATGTAGCGAGACACATTTTGACCATTGACTGTCAACGTTTCGGTGAAGTCACCACGCAGAAGGGAAACAATAAAATAATTAAAAAATATATATATATGAAACAACGAAATATATTTTCTTATTTTCTTGTTTCCCAACCAAACGTGATTTTTACCGAAAGAACCGAGAATATGTAGTGATTTGAGTGGCTGATTGATTGATTGAATGAGTGGGTGGGTCACTTAGTTACTGGCTCTGGGCACTCTAGAGGGGGTACAGCTGGTGGTGGTGGATCTACCGGTCATCTCGGTCAGCCAGCCCATGGCAACCTGCTGGGTCTGCCCCGTGACCTCCTGCACCTAGCCTGGCACAGTAGGGGGGGGTACAGGTGGTGGTGGTGCATCTACCGGTCATCTCGGCCAGCCCATGGCAACCTGCTGGGTCTGCCCCGTGACCTCCTGCACCTAGCCTGGCACAGTAGGGGGGGGTACAGGTGGTGGTGGTGCATCTACCGGTCATCTCAGCCAGCCCATGGCAACCTGCTGGGTCTGCCCCGTGACCTCCTGCACCTAGCCTGGCACAGTAGGGGGGGGTACAGGTGGTGGTGGTGGATCTACCGGTCATCTCAGCCAACCCATGGCAACCTGCTGGGTCTGTCCCAAGACCTCGTGTTTATCGGCGAGCCTTCGACACTCCACGTGGCCTCAGTGTGCACCTAGCCTGGCACAGGTGCCGTGGTGACATCACCGTCACTTAGCGGCGAATGGCGGATATTGGGCGACTTGGTGGGTGAGGTAGTGAGCGAGCGGTTGAACGAGTGGGTGGGTGAGTGATTGCATGGGGGAATGAATGAGTGGGTGAGTGAGTGGGCGATGCCGTGAGTGAGTGGATGAGTGGGTGATTTCGTGAGTGAATGGGTGAGTTGGGTGGGTGAACGAGTGGGTGAATGAGCGAGTAGGTGGGGTGAATGAATGAGTGTTGGCGAGTGAGTGGGCGAATTCGTGAGTGAGGGGGTGGGTGAATGAGTGAGTGTGTGGGTGAGTGAGTGAATTTGTGAGTGGGTGGCTGAATGAGTGAGTGGGTGAATTTGTGAGTGGGTGTGTGAATGAGTGAGTGGGTGAGTGTGTGGGTGAATGAGTGAGTGTGTGGGTGAATAAGTGAGTGTGTGGGTGAGTGAGTAAATTTGTGAGTGGATGGGTGAATGAGTGAGTAGGTAAATGAGTGAGTGTGTGAATGAGTGAGTGAGTAGCTGAATGAGTGGGTGAATGAACGAGTGGGTGGGCAAATGAGTGGTTGAATTCGTGAGTGAGTGGTTGAGCGAGGGAGGTGGGTGGGTGAATGAGCGAGTGGGTGGGTGGGTGAATGAGCGAGTGGGTGGGTGGGTGAATGAGCGAGTGGGTGGGTGAGTGGGTGAATGAGTGAGCGAGTGGGTGAATGAGTGAGCGAGTGGGTGAATGAGTGGGTGAATGAGTGAGTGAGTGGGTGGATGAGCGAGCGAGTGAGTGGGTTGGTGGGCGAGTGAGTGGGTCGGTGAATGAGTGAGTGAGTGGGTGGGTGAATGAATGAGTGAGTGAGCGAGTGAGTGGGTGGGTGAATGAGCGAGTGGGTGGGTGAATGAGCGAGCGGGTGGGTGAATGAGTGGGTTAACGAGTGAGCGAGTGAGTGGGTGCGTGAATGAGTGGATGAATGAGTGAGCGAGTGAGTGGGTGGGTGAATGAGTGAGCGAGTGGGTGGGTGAATGAATGAGTGGGTGAATGAGCGAGTGTGTGAATGAGTGAGCGGGTGCGTGGGTGAATGAATGAGTGATCGAGTGGGTGAGTGAATGAGTGGGTGGGTGGGTGAATGAGTGAACGAGTGAGTGGGTGAATGAATGAGTGAGTGAGTGGGTGAATGAGCGAGCGAGTGAGTGGGTGGGTGAATGAGTGAGTGAGTGGGTGAGTGAATGAGCGAGCGAGTGGGTGAGTGGGTGGGTGGGTGAATGAGTGGGTGGGTGGGTGAATGAGTGAGTGGATGGGTGAATGAGTGAGTGAGTGGGTGAATGAGTTAGTGAGTGGGTGGGTGAATGAATGAGTGAGTGAGCGAGTGAGTCTGTGGGTGAATGAGTGAGTGAGTGGGTGAATGAGTTAGTGTGTGGGTGAATGAGTTAGTGTGTGGGTGAATGAGTTAGTGTGTGGGTGAATGAGTTAGTGTGTGGGTGAATGAGTTAGTGTGTGGGTGAATGAGTTAGCGGGTGGGTGAATAGGTGAGCGAGTGAGCGGGCGGGTGAATGAGTCTGTGGGTGAATGAGTGAGTGAGTGGGTGAATGAGTTAGTTTGTGGGTGAATGAGTTAGTGTGTGGGTGAATGAGTTAGTGTGTGGGTGAATGAGTTAGCGGGTGGGTGAATGGGTGAGCGAGTGAGCGGGCGGGTGAATGAGTCTGTGGGGGAATGAGTGAGTGGGTGAATGAGTTAGTGTGTGGGTGAATGAGTTAGTGTGTGGGTGAATGAGTTAGCGGGTGGGTGAATGGGTGAGCGAGTGAGCGGGCGGGTGAATGAGTCTGTAGGTGAATGAGTTAGTGTGTGGGTGAATGAGTTAGTGTGTGGGTGAATGAGTTAGTGTGTGGGTGAATGAGTTAGTGGGTGGGTGAATGAGTTAGTGTGTGGGTGAATGAGTTAGCGGGTGGGTGAATGGGTGAGCGAGTGAGCGGGCGGGTGAATGAGTCTGTGGGTGAATGAGTGAGTGGGTGAATGAGTGAGTCTGTGGGTGAATGAGTTAGTGTGTGGGTGAATGAGTTAGTGTGTGGGTGAATGAGTTAGTGTGTGGGTGAATGAGTGAGCGGGTGGGTGAATGAGTGAGCGCGTTGGTCAGCGGAGTTATATATTTTTTTTCCGATCAGTTGTTTCCGCTAAAAACATCCTCCACTCCACTCCACCACCACCTCCTCCTCCTCGCCCCTGAGAAATCATTTCCACGGGAAACTGCCGAGACTCCAAGTACAACATCGGTAGCGGTGCGGTGTTGTTGTTGTTGTTGTCTGTTGTTGATTGTTGTTGTTGTTACTGATGGTGCCGAGTGGCGTGATGTAGGTGGTGCTGGTGGAGGTGGTGGTGGCGACGTTGCTGATAGCGATGATGATGCTGCTGCTGATGCTGCTGCTACTGCTGCTGATGATGCTGTTGCTGCTGATGATGCTGCTGATGCTACTACTGCTGATGATGCTGCTGATGCTACTACTGCTGATGATGATGCTACTTATGATGATGATGCTACTGCTGATGCTACTACTGCTGATGATGCTACTGCTGCTGATTCTACTGCTGATGATGATGCTACTTATGATGATGCTGATGCTACTGCTGCTGATGCTACTGCTGCTGATGCTACTGCTGCTGATGCTACTGCTGATGATGCTACTGCTGCTGATGATGCTACTACTGCTGCTGATTCTACTGCTGATGATGCTACTTATGATGATGCTACTACTGCTGCTGATGCTACTTCTGATGATGCTGCTGATGCTACTTATGATGATGCTGCTGATGCTACTTATGATGATGCTGCTGCTGATGCTACTTATGATGATGATGCTGCTGCTGATGCTACTACTGCTGCTGATGCTACTTATGATTATGCTGCTTATGATGATGATGCTGCTGATGCTGCTGCTGATGATGATGATGCTGCTGCTGATGATGATGCTGCTGCTGATGATGAGGCTTGTACAACAGTTCTGTTTCTCTTGCTCTTGCTGCTGATGACACTGCTGCTGATGACACTGCTGCTGATGACACTGCTTCTGATGACACTGTTGCTGATGACACTGTTGCTGTTGGATTGCTGCTGCTGATGATGATGATGCAGCTGCTGATGCTACTGCTGCTGCTGCTGATGACACTGCTGCTGATGACACTGTTGATACTGTTGCATTGCTGCTGATGCTGCTGCTGATGATGATGCAGCTGCTGATGCTACTGCTGCTGATGATGATGATGCAGCTGCTGATGCTGCTGCTGCTGATGATGATGATGATGCAGCTGCTGATGCTACTGCTGCTGATGATGCTGCTGTGTCTTTTGATGGAGCTGCTGCAGCTGATGGTGCTGTTGCTGATTTTCTGCTGTTTCTACTGATGTAGTTGTTGATGGCAATGATGGAGATGATGATGGGGATGATGATGGGGATGATGTGTTAATGAAACTGGTGGCGATTATGATGGGTGGTAGTGGTGTGTTAATGAAGGTGGCGATGATGATGATGATCGTGATGATGATCGTGATGATGATGATGGTGGTAGTGGTGTGTTAATGAAGGTGGCGGCGATGATGATGATGATGGTATGATGTGTAAATGGAGGTGGCGATGATGATCGTGATGATGATCGTGATGATGATCGTGATGATGATGATGGTGGTAGTGGTGTGTTAATGAAGGTGGCGGTGATGATGATGATGATGGTATGATGTGTAAGTGAAGGTGGCGATGATGATCGTGATGATGGTGATGATGATGGTGGTAGTGATGATGGTCGTGATGATGATGATGATGGTGGTAGTGGTGTGTTAATGAAGGTGGCGGTGATGATGATGATGATGGTATGATGTGTAAGTGAAGGTGGCGATGATGATCGTGATGATGGTGATGATGATGGTGGTAGTGATGATGGTATGATGTGTTAATGTTGGTGGTGGTGGTTGTGATGATAATGGTAATGATGGTGGTGATATGACAGTGTGAATATGTAGTTGCTGCTGATGGTGATGTTGTTGTATCATCATCATCATCATCATCCTCTATCCATTTACTCCTTTATCATTCACCCTCTCTCACCCACCCACTCACCTACCCACACACCCACTCACCTACCCACTCACTCACCTACTCACCTACCCACTCACTCACCCACCCACCCACTCACCTACCCATTCACCCATACACCCACCCACCCACTCACTTATTCAGCTATTCACTCACTCAACCACCCACTCACCCACCCACTCACCTACTCACCCACCCACTCACCTACCCACACACCCACTCACCTACCCACACATGCACTCACCTACCCACTCACTCACCCACTCACCTACCCACTCACTCACCCACCCACTCACCTACCCACTCACCCATACACCCACCCACCCACTCACTTATTCAGCTATTCACTCACTCACTCACCCACCCACTCACTCACCCACTCACTCACCCACTCACCTACCCACTCACTCACCCACTCACCTACCCACTCACTCACCTACTCACCTACCCACTCACCCACCCACTCACCTACCCACTCACACACACACCCACCCACCTACTCACTTATTCAGCTATTCACTCACTCACCCACCCACTCACCCACTCACTCATCCACACACCCATCCACTCACATACTCCACCCACATACTCACCTACCCACTCGCCCACCCATTCGTCCACCCACCCATTGACCCACTCACCTACCCACACACTCACCCCCTCATCTCCCCACACACTGACCCCCTCACCTACCCACACACGCACCCACTCACCCACCCGCTCACCCACCCGCTCACTCTTCCGCTCACTCATCCACTCACCCACCCACTCACCTACCCACTCACCTACCCATACACACACTCACCCATCCACCCACTCACTTATTCAGCGACTCACCCACCCACTCACCCACCCACCCACCCACGCACTCACTCACTCACTCACCCACTCACTCACCCACCCACTCACCCACCCACCCACCCACTCACCAACCCACTCACTCACCCACCCACCCACCCACTCACCCACCCACTCACTCACCCACCTGCTCACTCACCCACCTGCCCACCCACTCACCCACCCACTCACCCACCCACCCATTCACCCACCCACCCACTCACTCACCCACCCACCCACTCACCCACCCACTCACTCACCCACCCACCCACTCACCCACCCACTCACCCACCCACTCACTCACCCACTCACTCACCAACTAATGTCTCTCTCTCAATCGGGGGGTGGGGTGGGGGGGGGAGATGATAATGACCGTGTCACAGACACTGAGAGCCTGGGTTCGAGCCCTGGGTCAGGGTCTCTCTCTCTGTGTCTATCAGGGGGTTCGTGATGACCGTGTAACAGACACTGAGAGCCTGGGTTCGAGCCCTGGGTAAGGGTCCTCTCTCTCTCTCTCTCCCTCTCTCTCCCTCTCGAGTCTCGCTGTGGATGAGAGGGTTCATGATGTCCGTGGCATGTCGTCGTCATCATCTCTGCCTTTGTGTCTGTCCTTAGGGGAATGTTGGCCGATACAAACTGATCCACCACCTTATCAACAGCAGCATCAGCAGAAGCCACTACATCGCTATCAACAGCATCATCAGCAGAAGCAGCCACTACATCGCTATCAACAGCATCATCAGCAGAAGCAGCCACTACATCGCTATCAACAGCATCATCATCAGCAGCAGAAGCAACTACATCGCTATCAACAGCATCATCATCAGCAGCATCATCATCAGCAGCCACTACATCGCTATCAACAGCATCATCATCATCAGCAGAAGCCACTACATTGCTATCAACATCATCATCAGCAGCAGAAGCCACTACATCGTTATCAACAGCATCATCTTCAGCAGCATCATCATCATCAGCAGCAGCAGCCACTACATCGCTATCAACAGCATCATCAGCAGCAGCGAGCCACTGCATCGTTATAAACAGCATCATCATCATCAGCAGCAGCGAGCCACTGCATCGTTATAAACAGCATCATCAGCAGCAGTAGCATCAGCAGCAATGCAACGGCGATAGTGTTAGCAGTGGCATCAGCGGCAGCTAGGGTAACGGAAGGATCAACAGTTGTACAAGCATCATCATCAGCAGCTGCAGTGTAAGCAGCAGCAGCAGCATCATCATCAGCTGCAGTGTAAGCATCAGCAGCAGCATCATCACTAGCATCATCATCAGCAGAATCATCATCAGCATCATCATCATCAGCAGCATCATCACCAGCAGCATCATCATCAGCAGCATCATCACCAGCAGCATCATCATCAGCAGCATCATCACCAGCAGCATCATCACCAGCAGCATCACCAGCAGCATCATCAGCAGCATCATCAGCAGCGTAATCATCATCAGCAGCATCATCATCTGCAGCATCATCAGCAGCAGCATCACCAGCAGCATCATCAGCAGCAGCATCTTCATCAGCATCATGGAAATTGAAGCAACACCTTCAAGCAGCAGCAGCAGCGTCTTATGACACCAACAACATCATCAGCAGCAGCATCAATCATTATCATCATCAGCAGCAGCAGCAAACGAAAGGATCATGTAAAATCAATCTGTCTGTTGGAAGTTTGGCATTTCCAGCAGATAGATAATACATGAATTGATTACTATCATCACGTCATCATCAGCATCGTCGTCATCATCATCATCATCGTCACCACCGTCATCGTCACCACCGTCATCGTCACCATTACCGTCATCATCAGCATCACCATCAGCAACATCATCGGCATCATCATCAACATCATCATCGGCAGAGGCAACAATGGCAGATTGAAAAGTGCATTTGAAAGAGGCCTCAACTTCAGCAGGAGAAATATCATCAGCAATATCATCATCATCATCAGCACCATTAATCACAGAATCATTGAGGCACTGTCACCACGATCACCACTGCATTCAGTAGCACAATCACCATCATCATCATCACCATCATCACCAGCATCATCATCACATCATCACTACAACCTGTAAAATTATCACCGGCAGCGTCATCCACCACCAACTCCTGCACCACCACCTCCACTACCACCACCACCTCCTCCACCACCACTACCACCACCACCTCCTCCACCCCCACCACCACCACCACCTCCTCCACCACCACCACCACCTCCACTACCACACCACCGTCTCCACCACCACCCCCCCCACCACCACTGCCACCACCTCCACCACACCGCCACCACACCACCACCACCACACCTCCACCACCCCTACCACACCACCACCACCACCACCCCTACCACACCTCCACCCCTACCACCACCACCCCTACCACCACCACCACCACACCACCACCACTACCACCCCCCCTACCACCACCACCACCTCCACCCCTACCACACCACCACCACCACCCCCCCTACCACCACCACCCCTACCACCACCACCACCACCACTACCACACCACCACCACCACCCCTACCACACCACCACCACCTCCACCACCACCACCACCCCTACCACACCACCACCACCACCACCACACCGCCACCACCACCACCCCTACCACCACCACCCCTACCACACCACCACCACCACCACCACCACACCGCCACCACCACCACCACCCCTACCACACCACCACCACACCTCCACCACCACCCCTACCACACCACCACCACCACCCCCCCCACCACTACACCTCCACCCCTACCACACCACCACCACCCCTACCACCCCTACCACACCACCACCACCCCTACCACACCACCACCACCCCTACCACACCACCACCCCTACCACACCACCACCACCACACCACCACACCACCACCACCACCACCACCACCACCACCACACCACCACCACACCACCACCACCACCACCCCACCCCCGTCACCGCCTCGCGATGCCTCCCCGGCCCTCCTCGGGCGAGCTATGGGGCCTCCACCTGATGCCCCCACGCATCGTGGTGGACTGTCTGCTGCCCAACGGCATGATGGTGGCACTGGAGTGCCTGCGGGAGGCCACGCTCGCAGCCATCAAGAGGGACCTCTTCCGTGAAGCACGCAAGCACCCCCTACACAGCCTGCTGCAGGTGGGGGGAGATGGTGGGGGGGGTGGTGGGGGGGAGAGGTGGGGGGAGAGGTGGGGGGGAGAGGTGGGGGGGGGGAGAGGTGGGGAGAAGTGGTGGGGAGAGGGAGCTCTTCCGTGAAGCACGCAAGCACCCCCTACACAGCCTGCTGCAGGTGGGGGGAGATGGTGGGGGGGGGGAGATGGTGGGGGGGGAGATGGTGGGGGGGGAGATGGTGGGGGGGGAGAGGTGGGGGGAGAGGTGGGGGGGAGAGGTGGGGGGAGAGGGGGGGGGGAGAGGGAGCTCTTCCGTGAAGCATGCAAGCACCCCCTACACAGCCTGCTGCAGGTGGGGGGAGATGGTGGTGGGGGGGGGGGGTGGGGAGAGGTGGGGGGGGGGAGGTGGTGGGGGGGAGAGGTGGGGGGGAGAAGGGGCTCTTCCGTGAAGCCAGCAAGCACCCCCTACACAGCCTGCTGCAGGTGGGGGGAGATGGTGGGGGGGGTGGTGGGGGGGAGAGGTGGGGGAGAGGTGGGGGGGAGAGGTGGGGGGGGGGAGAGGTGGGGGGGGGTGGTGGGGGGGAGAGGTGGTGGGGAGAGGGACCTCTTCCGTGAAGCACGCAAGCACCCCCTACACAGCCTGCTGCAGGTGGGGGGAGATGGTGGTGGGTGGGGGGGAGATGGTGGGGGGGGAGATGGTGGGGGGAGGTGGGGGGGGGAGATGGTGGGGGGGGAGGTGGGGGGGGTTGGTGGGGGGGAGAGGTGGTGGGGGAGAGGTGGGGGGAGAGGTGGTGGGGAGAGGGAGCTCTTCCGTGAAGCCAGCAAGCACCCCCTACACAGCCTGCTGCAGGTGGGGGGGGGAGATGGTGGGGGGGGGGGAGATGGTGGGGGGGGAGATGGTGGGGGGGGAGGTGGGGGGGAGAGGTGGGGGGGAGAAGGGGCTCTTCCGTGAAGCCAGCAAGCACCCCCTACACAGCCTGCTGCAGGTGGGGGGAGATGGTGGGGGGGGGGAGATGGTGGGGGGGGAGATGGTGGGGGGGGAGATGGTGGGGGGGGAGAGGTGGGGGGGAGAGGTGGGGGGGAGAGGTGGGGGGAGAGGTGGGGGGGAGAGGGAGCTCTTCCGTGAAGCCAGCAAGCACCCCCTACACAGCCTGCTGCAGGCGGGGGGAGATGGTGGGGTGGGGGGTGGTGGGTGGGGAGAGGTGGGGGGGGAGATGATGGGGGGGGGGAGATGGTGGGGGGGAGATGGTGGGGGGAGAGGTGGGGGGGAGAGGGAGCTCTTCCGTGAAGCACGCAAGCACCCCCTACACAGCCTGCTGCAGGTGGGGGGGGAGATGGTGGGGGGGGGGGAGATGGTGGTGGGCGGGGGGGAGATGGTGGGCGGGGAGCTGATGGTGGGCGGGGAGATCGGTGTGGGGGCGATGGGTGTGGGGGGGGAGGAGTCTCTCCCCTCCACCTCACCACCGCTCCCTCCCTCCCTCTCTCTCTCTCTCCCCGTGCGTCCACCACCACCACCACCCCCCCACCACCACCACCACCACCACCCCCCCACCACCACCACCACCCACCCACCCCCTTCCACCCACGCAGGACGAGTCGACGTACATCTTCGTGGGCGTAACACAGGAGGCTGAGCGTGAGGATTTCTACGACGAGTCGCGGCGGCTGTGCGACCTGCGGCTCTTCCAGGCCATCCTCAAGGTGGTGGAGCCCGTGGGCAACCGCGAAGAGAAGATGCTGAACCGGGAGATCGGTGCGGCCACCGCCAACACCGATAACACCACCGCTGCCGCTAACAACAACCACTACTACTACACTACTACACTACCACCACTACTACTACACTACTACTACACTACCACTACCGCTAACACCACTACTACTACACTACTACACTACACCACTACTACTACTACACTACCACTACCACCACTACTACTACACTACTACTACACTACCACTACCGCTAACGCCACTACTACTACACTACTACACTACCACTAACACTACTAACACCACTAACACCGCCACTACCACCACTACCACCACTAACACCACCACTAACACCACTAACACCGCCACTACCACCACTAACACTACTAACACCACTAACACCACCACTACCACCACTACAACCACTAACACCGCCACTACCACCACTACTACACTACTACTACTACACTACCACTACCGCTAACACCACTACCACTACCACCACTACTACTACACTACTACTACACTACCACTACCGCTAACACTAACACCACTACCACTCACACCACTACTACACTACCACTACCGCTAACACCACTACTACTACACTACTACTACTACACTACTACTACCACCACTACTACTACCACCACTACTACTACACTACTACTACACTACCACTACCGCTAACACCACTACTACTACACTACCACTACCGCTAACACCACTACTACTACACTACTACTACTACACTACTACTACCACCACTACTACTACCACCACTACTACTACACTACTACTACACTACCACTACCGCTAACACCACTACTACTACACTACCACTACCGCTAACACCACTACTACTACACTACTACACTACCACTACCGCTAACACCACTACTACTACACTACCGCTACCGCTAACACCGCTACCACTAACACCACTACTACTACTACACTACCACTACCGCTAACACCACTACTACTACACTACTACTACACTACCACTAACACCACTACTACTACACTACTACTACACTACCACTACCGCTAACACCACTACTACTACACTACCACTACCGCTAACACCACTACTACTACACTACCGCTACCGCTAACACCGCTACCACTAACACCACTACTACTACTACTACACTACCACTACCGCTAACACCACTACTACTAAACTACTACTACTACACTACCACTACCGCCAACACCACTACTACTACACTACCACTACCGCCAACACCGCTACCACTACCAACACCGCTAACACCACCACTGCCGCTAACACTAACACCACTAACACTACCACTAACACCGCTACCGCTAACACCACTACTACTACTACACTACCACTACCGTTAACACTACTACTACACTACTACTACACTACTACTACTACACTACTACTACACTACCACTACTACACTACTACTACTACACTACTACTACACTACTACTACTACACTACTACACTACCACTACCGCTAACACCACTACTACTACACTACTACACTACCACTACCGCTAACACCACTACTACTACACTACTACTACTACTACACTACCGCTAACGCTAATGCTAACACCACCACTACCACTACCACCACTACTACTACACTACTACTACACTACCATTACCGCTAACGCTAACACCACCACTACCACCACTACCACTAACACCACTACTACTACTACACTACCACTACCGCTAACACCACTACCACTACCACCACTACTACTACACTACCACTACCGCTAACACTACTATCACCACTAACACCACCACTACCACCACTACCACCACTAACACCGCCACTAACACCGCTAACACCGCCACTACCACCACTAACACCACCACTAACACCACCACTAACACCACTAACACCACCACTAACACCACCACTACCACCACTAACACCGCCACTAACGCCACCACTACCACTAACACTACCACCACTAACACCACTACCACCACTAACACCGCTAACACCACCACTAACACCGATAATGCTACCACTACCAGCACTAACACCACTAACACCACTAAGACCACCACTAACACCACCACTAACACCACCACTAACGCCACTACTACCACTACCGCTACCACCACCACTACCACTACTACTACACTACTGCTACCACCACCACTACTACCACGAACACCACTACTACTACTTTACTACTACCACTACTACTACACTACTACTACTACCAC